ACCTCAAAGTTATTCTTTCCTATCAATCCATTGAGCTATCCCTATAAGTGTCACAAACAGCCCTAGAGTTCATAGTAAAATAACACCATATGATACACATCAATAAACCCTAATGTCACCTGGAAACTCCAATGTCACCACAAGTATCCGTGGGTCAATTATACGATATGCATCGAACAAATTCAGATTCATAATATTCAATCCAACACAAAGAACCTCAAAGAGTGCCCCAAGGTTCCTACCGAAGAAACAAGGACGAAAACGTGCATCAACCCCTATGCATAGATTACCCCAATGTCACCTCGGGAATCTGTGAGTTGAGTGCCAAAATATACATCAATTGAATCAATAGAACACCCGATTGTCACCACGGGTATCCCACACAAGACATACATCAAGTGTTCTCAAATCCATAATAGTATTCAATCCGATAATAATGAAACCTCAAAGGTAAAACTCAATTCAACGCAAGAAGATAGAGGGGGAGAAACACCATATGATCCAACTATAATAACAAAGCTCGATGTGCATCAAGACCGTGTCATATCAAGAACATGAGAGAGAGAGAGAGATCAAACACATAGCTACTGGTACATACCCTTAGGCCCGAGGGTGAACTACTCCCTCCTCGTCATGGAGACTGTCGGGATGATGAAGATGGCCACCGGTGATGGTTTCCCCCTCCGACAGGGTGCCGGAATGGGCTCCTAATTTGTTTCATGGCTATAGAGGCTTGTGGCGGTGGAACTCCCAATCTAGGTTTCTTTCTGGGGGTTTTGGTATTTATAGGAACTTTTGGCGTCGGTCTCACGTCAAGGGGGTCCACGAGGTAGCGGCAAGACAGGGGGCACGCCCCCACCCTTGTGGTTTCCTCGGGACTCCTCTCCGGTATCTTTTCGCTCCAGTATTTTTTATATTTTCGAAAAATATTCTTCATAAATTTTCAGCCTATTCCGAGAACTTTTATTTCTGCACAAAAAAACGACACCGCGGTAGTTCTGCTGAAAACAACATCGGTCCGGGTTAGTTCTAATCAAATCATACCAAAATCATATAGAATTGTTGTAAACATGACATGGATACTTGATAAATTATAGATGCGTTGGAGATGTATCGGCATCCCCAGGCTTAATTCCTACTCGTCCCCGAGTAGGTAAATGACAAAAGAAATAATTTATGAAGTGTGAATCCTAGCAAGTGCACAAGTTTGATCGATGACAATTTCAATCACTTTTTTAGCATCATTATATATCATAAACAGTAGCTCATCTCATAAAACTTCTCATGATCAAGTAGCAAGCTATTCATATGTTAAAGCATAGATCATGAATTTTCACTAGTACATCAAGGTGCTATACAAACGGTTTTTAACCCCTTTCCGCGACGGCATTTGGAACCTTCGCCAAGTGAGTGTGGGCGATAGGGGGGTCATTCCCACGACCTAGAAACCGTCGAGGATATGCCCTCCTGGCACACACGCTCAGCAAAATGAGGTCGTGTGCGAGCTGCGAGCGCTCAAATACGGTTATACGTACAATAGTGCTAAAAGAAACACAATTATACAGGTGAACTAATTTCCGATCGTAAGTACATCCCACACAGTCAGTCCCCGCTAAACGTTTTTGTTCGTATATAGATCCCACGTAGTTGCTCCAAGGATAATGTTTCTGTCCGCAGGTACATCACACACAGTTTTCCCCGTTAATCATTTGTGATAGTGTTTCCATTTCACATGGTATTAACAATTTTATCGTTTGCGTTATTGAATGCATCACACACGGCTCACAGAAGAAACGGTGTGGCAAAGGTTATCCATCACACACAACTTTTATGTGGTTAACTTTTGAGCCAGGTGGCCTAACGCAAACAGTTTTCAAGAGGATGTCGTGTGTGATTGTTCATTAATCCAACACATTTTATTCCTAGAAACTGTGTGCGTTGCCTGAGGTCATCGCCCACGGTATTTTCTCAATAGCCGTTTGCAATAGAAAACCCAATTAGCAGGCTAATTATCCTATTATAAATAATCCATTTATTAATCTAATTGACATTTCATATTAAGCACATATTATATTTCATTTTCATAATTGAAATACATTAGAGTACGACATCATATAGCTTCAGCACTCAGCTACCCCATTACACAACAGCACCAACACCAAGTTTCACATGTAACATCTATAACCTTTCGAAATTAGCATCATAGACGTTACATAGACAGATGTATCTCATCTGGAAAATTGCTGAAGCAGAAGGCAAATATTGAGCCTTCATTGATGTTTAAGGTCTTTGCAACTTTAGGCCAGTGCCTGTGGATGATTGACCATCCATCCTTCGTCCTCATTAGGAATACTTCAATATTGAACCATGGGTGTTGTATGTATAGCTTCCTCGCCTCCTGACCATACATGTGGTTTAAGAGGTAATCATCAGTGAACTACTTTGGAAAGGCCTGAAAACAAGGATGTGCATAAATATCTTCTCTATATTGGAAATGGGGTAAATGAATAAAAAAGCCAAGGTATAATAGTTAGTACCATCCTATAGTGAACTGATGTCTTCTTCATTATGCTGACAAAGATCTTGTTGTTTCTTGTTACTAATTTCTTTATCCTAACAATCTTTCTGAGTTTCGTGACTTGCTTGATATTCATGGACAACTCATTTCCCCATATGCAAAAAGGGTCGAATAGTGGGTCAAAACCTTTGACAACAGGAGCTACATGTGCAAGACCAAATTGTTAAAAACATAAATATTAGAATGGTTCCTACAATTGCACAATAATGTGCTATTAGACAAAGGACCATGCATGTGCAAACCTCGATTGTAAATCTCAGTGCTTCCCATTGTTTCCCTGCAACACATATAAAGTAGTTAGTCATCAGGTTAAGTAAGGGTTCACATGCTATCAGTAAAATATGTTGATGAAAAATAAGCACATTACAGATTTATCATATTAATTCAAGCCACATGGAAAACCCATTTATCCAAACCAAGCATAATTAAGAACTAGGAAATATAGCACTTGTATATGTTTTTCATGTATTAAGTGCAGCCAAATTCGATTTATTCCTCACATGCACAACAATACAAAATTCTACTCACAACAATTGGACATCGCATTGCAGAATTGAAATAAGAAGTTAACTAAACACCACAACAAATGAACCAAACATTAACTAAGCACCACATTGCACAATATAACATACTCCTAATAGAAGATCAGACATTTGACCAAACCAAGCATACTTAACAACTTGGAAATATAGCAATTGTATTTGTTTCTCATGTATTTAGTACAGCCAAATTCAATTTATTCCTCACATGGTATACAATAACAGAATGCACCCACAACAATTGAACATCGCATTGCAGAATTGAACCAAACAATTAACTAAGCACCACAACAAATGAACCAAACACTAACTAAGCATCACATTGCATAATATAACATACTCCTAATAGAAGATCAGACAGTTAACCACACCAAGCATGCTTAACAACTTTTAAATTGATACGTCTCCAACACATCTACTTTTCCTAATGCTTTTCCTCTTGTTTTGGACTCTAATTTGCATGAGTTGAATGAAACTAACCCCGGACTGATGCTGTTTTCAGCATAACTACCATGGTGTTCTTTTTGTACAGAAATAAAAGTTCTCAGAATGGAACGAAACTTTGCGAGGATTTTTTATATCAATAACAAGAATTTATGGAGCTAAGACCTACCGGAGAGGGGCACCTGGGTGGGCACAACCCATCAGGGCGCCCCCCTCTCCTGGTGCACCCAGGTGGGTTGTCCCCACCTGGTGGCCCCGCAGATCCTGAAACCGATGCTATAAAATCCTATTTTCCAGAAAAAAACCAGGGAGAAAGAATTATCGCAATCCTGAGATGGAGCCACCGTCACCTCATGTTCTTCATCGGGGGCCAGATCTGGAGTCCGTTTGGGGCTCTAGAGAGGGGGATCTCCGTTCTTCATCATCACCAACCCTTCTCCATCACCAATTCAATGATGCTCCGCACCGGGAGTTAGGAATTCCTTCGTCGGCTCGCTGGTCGGTCAGGAGTTGGATGAGAGTCATCATGTAATCGAGTTAGTTTTGTTGGGCTCGATCCCTGTATCCACTATATTCTAAGTTTGATGTTGCTATGACTTTGCCATGCTTAATGCTTGTCACTTTGGGCCTGGGTGCCATGATTTCAGATCTGAACCATTTATGTTATCACCATTATATCCATGTTCTAGATCCGATCTTGCAAGTTATAGTCACCTACTACGTGTTATGATCCGGCAACCCCGGAGTGACAATAGTCAGGACCACTTCCAGTGATGACTGTAGTTTGAGGAGTTCATGTATTCACCGTGTGGTATTGCTTTGTTCTGATTCTCTATTAAAAGGAGGCCTTAACATCCCTTAGTTTCCAATAGGACCCCGCTGCCACGGGAGGGTAGGATAAAAGATGTCATGCAAGTTCTTTCCATAAGCACATATCTTCCCCTAATAATAAAGCACCTAATGCTTCTGGTCGTCCGTCGTCAGCAATTTTGCAAAACAGTCCCCTAGTTTCTGAGAAATTAACCGGCACTCCTACTAAAATGTGCTACCGATGAATAACGTTTCAATTTTTTTGCAAAAAACCCCCTGCCACCACCGCCACTAAAGCATTGCCTGCCTCCACCATCGGGCACGCGCCGCCGCTTGCCTCCGGTGTCCACGATGCAGAAGCCAAGGAAGGGGGATGCGTCGCGGCGGGCATCCGCGCCGCCCGAGCCCAGGAGCCAGCCGTAGTCGGCACCTTTTACTCTATCTATCTTCCCTGCCCTCGGCATCAATGGACCAATGCGGCGCTACTGGATGAGGCGGAGCGCAGAGGGGAAGGGCCAGAGGTTGGTCGCCGTCCAGCAGAGCAGCACCACGCGCCTCAGATGGCAAGGGCGGCCGCCGTAGGTTGAGTACGTACTGCGGGCACCGGCGGCTACCGCTTCCCGACGCACATGTCGCTGCAGGATGGCGACGGCGGCACGCTAGACCTGCCGCATTTGGTGCAATCCGTGGTATGCGCGGAGTGGACGGCCGAGGTGATTGGCGTGGAGCTGGTGCGACCAGGCGTCGCGCCGTGGCGGAGGGAAGGAGGAGAAGGAGAGATGTTAGGGACGGCCAGTGTGGTTGCTCCGGTGATGGCGTCCTGCGGGGGGCTTAGAAGCAACGGCTGCCATTGAGGGTGTGTGCTGCGTGGTAGACAGAGAGATGGGGAGAAAATATAGGAAGGGAATCGGGAGGATGCGGAAGAAGAAGGCACGGGGGAGAGACGAGGATGAGAACGGGTGAGACGATAAGGTTGGAGGTTAGTGGCGAGCGGCTGAGACGAGGACGTGGATACTGGAACATCGGTGCGTGGGGCCATGTGACAGGCGTCGCTCAAGACGGGTTTGTCAACAGCTGGAGCTCTTTGTTTGCCACATTGCACTCACCCACGGAGGTCACTGCTGACCAGGCGAGGTATTTTTACTAACTACACCAAAGTACTGGAAGCTTGTGAATTTGCTGTCCATGCTTAACCTGGTTCATGTTAATGTGTAGGTGGTGCTGACTCTCATACCTGCAATGATGGAGCCTTTGGTCAGTTTGCAACCGGAATTGGAAACGGTGATGCAGGTTTTGTGATGGGAACTGGAAAGGGTCTTCTTAAGTTATGCAAGCATGTTAAATTACTTCCGGATAGAATTTGAAAGTGGTCTTACCATGAAAACCGATGGGACATATCTTTCTCTGTCTGAGCAATCTTTGGTTCTGTATCTCAGTCAGGGTTTCTTCATTTGTTTCTCACATTCTGTACATTATTATATCATATTGTACTAAACTGCAGTTTATTGCACAAATATGGAAACTTAAGATGTGCATTTGATAGTAACGCTCTATAAGTTCCTTTTTGTTTATAAATTATATGGTGTGCCATCCAAAAATACTCCATCCAATGTGCTGTATTGTGTTAAAAAATAGTTTGATTCTCGTCGTGCATGCATTTGATTGCTTCTCCGAATCTACATACATATGCCGGTCTGGTATTACATTTTTCTTCTTTTTCTTGAAGATTTGCATCTGTTTGTGTTTTTGACTGACTACATAGGTCAAGACACACATGGTGGAAACATATATGCCTGGATGCCCAGTGAAATAAATACATAAATTATCTCTGGGCATTGCTGATTCCGTTTTATACGAGTGCATAATAAATCATCGGCACAAAAGACAGACATTTACATGTCATGGCCACAAAGTCTTTAATTGTTCTCAAAAAAGTCGTCCCGATCAATAAGAAGATGTCATGCTTGATGTCCCTGTAGAATTTTTTTAGGGAAGTCCCTAAGGGCTTGTTCGGTTGCAACAAAATTGAACGGGATTGGAGTGGATTGGGAAGGATTAAATCCCATACAAGTCAAAATCCCACTCAATCCCCTCGAAACCACTCCAACCCCCTCTAGAAGAGGTTTAACCGAACAAAGCCTAAAGATGGTTGTGTTGAAGGTGGTGCGGACAAAAGAGGCAACCATCTTATACATCCTTTGACCCAAACATTAATCTACAAAGAAATAAAAAAATCATCCACATAAAATTACTTTGGAAGTGTTGCACATGCGACATTTTTATTTTCTGATGTCAGTGCAATGGTTAATCTAGCGGTGTGGTATGCTTTGTCACTAGGCATCGACATAATGATCTACAACGCCGTACTGAAGTCGGGCGAAAACATGAAGAATATAGCAATGCTCTTACTTTAATATATTTTTTCTTCTTTCTAAATTAGTTCAAGGAAAAACATGACACTCTAGCATGCAAACAACACATATGTTCTCATGCTTATGTCCAGCGTAATTAGATTTATTTATAAGTAGCTACATATGCCCTATTTATTATGCAAATTTTATATGCGTTATTTAATCAGCAACAACTTCATATAGTATACAAAACTCTCATGCAGGCAAGCAATTTGGATGGCAATCTCGAGTCATGGATGGCAAGGAACAAACAAGGAAAAAAAGATAAAGAGCGGTATGTATGAATGACCAGTAAAGAAAAACTGAAAAACCTAAAATAGCATCATGAAGCCTATCAACAAAACAAAAGAATTAAAAATTTAACCCAATTGCTAAAAACACAAGGGAAGAAGAAATATGCTTACATGGAGCCACACAAAAGATATAAAAGTGCGCATGAGAAAGGCAGAAATACGCAAATATGCAACCAGAACAAAAAAAGAAGCTAGAATAGAGCAAATTACATGTAACCGTGAATTGAGGCGCAACACACTAAGCAAAGATTCAATTGCGATGGAGAATCATGCATATATCACGACAATATAGAAAGTGTGTACATCTATATGACAAAGACTTCATGGTTAGCGCACACACAACATTTTTAGACGCTAGGCAAAGTATACGACATTTTTATTGTGTGATATCAGTAACTCAACATAAGTGTTGCGTGTATGATTTTCTTTATCAACATGATGGTTAATTTACAGGTGAGATATGCACTGTCACTATATATTGACGGTCTAATCTACAACATCGTATTGAAGTCAGACAAAAAACATCATCTATGCTTTTACTTTAGAAATCCTTTGCATTAGTAATTGAACACTTGAAAAATGTGCTTCGAAGTCGAGAAAGAATGCACTAACCACTATTTTTCAACTGATTCCAGCGACAGTGCTTCTAAAGGTTGGATGTTTACCTTTCATTTTTATTATTTTCTGTTATTTTTGTGTCCTGTTTTGTCCCGCACGCCAGCTAGGGGGGGGGGCGTTTTTACAATCTCTCGTGCCGTTCGGCATGCCCTAATCCTAATCCCAAACAAGGCCCGATAATGTCTAGGGAAGTGGCCATGTTGGCGTGAGGGTGTGCTCCTACTGCTGATGGCAACGTGTCAACAAAAGAGCGTCATGCATTGTAAAATCTTTATCTTTTGGCCATCATATTTTTGAAGTGGGGAAGTTAATAGGGATCCTGGAGGAGAGAAAGATGACACTAGGGCAAGACAAACGAAAATAAGTGCATGCATGGGAACGAAAATAAGTGGATGCATAGGACGGGTAATAATGTCCCCCGTTGCAACGCACGGACATTTGTGCTAGTGACTATTTATGGAATACATGCCTAGATTATATTGATGAACTAGAGCTAGTGCCGTATCGCCCTAGGTTATAACTGTCTCATGATGAATATCATCCAACAAGTCACCGATCCAACGCCTACGAATTTATCCTATATTGTTCCCGCTAAGTTACTACTACTATCGTTATTGTTGCACTTGTTACAAAACAACTGCTATCACTGTTACCGTTACCATTGCTACTGCTACTATTATAAAAATTATTATCATATTACTTTGCTACTAATCATGTTGTTGCAGATAATTAATCTCCAGGTGTGGTTGAATTAAAAACTCAGCTGCTAATACTTTCAAATATTCTTTGGCTCCCCTTGTGTCGAATCTATAAATTTGGGTTGAATAATCTACCCTCGAAAACTGTTGTGATCCCCTATACTTGTGGGTTATCAAGACCTTTTTCTGGCGCCGTTGCCGGGGAGCATAGCTATATTTGTTGAGTCACTTCGTATTATTATCATATTATCACTATGAAGAATCTGAAGGATGCTAAGACTAAGATTTTTCCCTCAAAGACAAGGGGAGGTAAGGAACTGCCATCCAGTTCTGCTTAGATTCACCTTCTGTTATAAGTAAACTTGCAACACCACCACATGCTATTAATTCTAATATGTCGCAAGTTATTGATGATGCTACTTCTTCTATGGATAATGCTTATGATGATGCTAGTACCTTGATTGATAATGATGATGTGCCATTTGGTGAATTTCTTGATAAACAAATTGCTAGAGTAATACAGCATGATGTTGTTGAATCTGATGATGAGCTTGAAACTGAATCTCCTGAAACACCTGCTAGAACTAGCCTTCCTAGATATGAATTGCCTAAGGTACTAGAAGGTTATGTTATGAATGAGGAGACAACTAGAGATATTCTCGCTTGCAGAGATAGAGATGATCTAGAGAAATTATTATGCAAGTATAAAGAAAAATCTTTGAATGCTAGAATGATATGTGTTCCTAAGTTTAGTACTTCACCCATCTATATTGATGATAAGGATTATGAATTCTCTATCAACCCAGAGTTAATTACTTTGGTTGAATCTGATCCTTTCCATGGTTATGAAACTGAAACTGTTGTAGCACATCTTACTAAGTTGAATGACATAGCCACTCTTTTTACTCATGATGAGAAAACTTGCTATTACTTTCCATGGTTATGAAACTGAAATTGTTGTGGCACATCTTACTAAGTTGAATGACATAGCCACTCTTTTTACTCATGATGAGAAAATTCATTATTACAATATCCTAAAATTATTTCCATTCTCATTAAAGGGTGATGCTAAAGCTTGGTACAACACTCTTGCTCCTGGTTGTGTGCGTAGTCCCCAGGATATGATTTATTACTTCTCTGAAAAATATTTCCCTACGTATAAGAAAAAAGTTGCCTTGCAGGAAATATTTAACTTCGTTCAAATTAAAGAAGAGAGTCTCCCACAAGCTTGGGGGAGGTTTTGCTAATTACTTAATGCTTTGCCTGATCAACCTCTTAAGAAAAATGAAATACTTGATATCATCTATAATGGACTAATCGATGCTTGTGGGGATTTCCTAGATAGTTGTGCTAGTTGTGTTTTCAAGGAGCGAACTGTTGTGCAAGATGAAGAATTATTGAATAATATATTGAAAAATTATGATGATTGGACTCTTCCTGAACCACCGGCTAAACCCACTCCGAATAAGAGCGGTATATTATATCTCAGTCCTGAAGATATGCAAGAGGCAAAGAAATCTATGAAGGAAAAAGGTAATAAATCCGAGGATGCTAAAAATTTACCTCCTATTGAAGAAATACATGGGCTTAATACACCACCACTGCCTAAGGTGGTAGAGGTAAATTCTCTTATGAAATTCAATGATAAGGACAATCTTCACAACATGCACCCTAGCCAATGCCTTTATGAGTTTGAAAACTACATTAGAAAACAAGATCACTTCAATGGAAATGTTATGAAACAATTAAAATACAATTCTGATATGATTGCTCGCTTGAGTGACTTGTTATTTAGAATCTCAAATGATGTTAGAGGTGTTGGAAAGCATGCTTC